CATGCTCTATCTTTTCCGGCCAGCCTTTTGGGTAATCCCTGTCCAGACCGCCATCAACTCCATTGTCTAGTTCCTAGTCAACAAGGACCTCCAGAACTGCCTGTGGACTCGGGCTCCCTGCCAGCCATTGGAAAATCCCTCTACCTCAGCCCCTCTCCCTGTCTCTCAGGAACAAACTGGAATGTCAGACAGGTGATTGGGCTGGCAGGTGTGGCCTAGTCCTCTCAGAAAGGGTGAATATGGTACTGTGTCTGAGAATCAAGTGCTCTTAGCCACAGCCAATGAGTCCATGAAGAATGTGGCACATTTGTCAGCCCCTTTCACCCACCTGAACATGACCAGGTGACCAAGCACTCTGTGAGATGCTAGCGGGGAAAAGAAGACATTTTTCATCTTTAGGCTTCATCTGTCTGCCTACATCTCATTCCAACACCTCTCTTCTCTCTCTCTCCTCTGTCTCTCTCTATCCCTCCCTCTCTCTCCTTTCTCTTTCTGTTTATAAAGAAACTAGAGGCCAAAACCAGAAAGAAAAACAACTAGAAAAGCAGACTTTCTAATTTGCTTTTCTTGATTATATCCAGAGGGTGAGAGGAAGGTTGTTCAATAAAGTAGACTGCCAGAGTTCTCTGACCCTCTGCACTTATGTCCCCTCCTCAAACTCTCTTTCACAAGTCCTAGAAAGTTCAAAGGCAGACAGACTCAGAACTGTGGGATTGAAGGACTGAGGTGGGCATGAGTTCCATAGGATGGGGGTTATTAATTGCCCAATTATATGCAGGGTTCTTTTAGGCTAATCCTAGCCCCAATATCACCACCACCCTTCTCCACAACACACACACCCCTTCCTACCCACTGTGCCCAAATCTCCAAGAAACCTCCCAGATATTTCTTGAGCATTAGCCTGGAGAGGAGGGAGAAGAATGTTATGGGAACGAGATTTTACTAGGAGCTAAAATAAATTCTTTCATATGATTAATCTAAAACTAAAATAAAGTAAATAAAAAGGGTGAATGCACAGCTCTAAGAAGTTTATTTACACCACGTTTATTTCTGGAATAATGTGATGATTTGGTTTATAAAGTGTTGAAAAGACGATATACCGAGAGAGGTGTATTCTTTCAAGTTTGATGAAAGCAACTATAATAATATGTGGGAAAGCAGTTGTACATAATACTTTTAGTACTTAAGCCTCCTCTTATGTCTTCATAAAAAAGATGTAAAGTTTTTCAGACATTTGCATAAGCGCTATCCTTTCCATCTCCATGCTTAGTTTAACCATATTTATTCTTATGTAATGTCATTCAAGAACAGGTTGGAGATGCTGAAAATAAATGAGATGCACTATTTTAGATGGTGTCTATTAAAAAAACACTGAAGCAATAATAAATGAATTCAGAACATCGTCAACTTTTGTACAGTTTTTTTTTTTGGTAGTATGTTTACAATGTCCACTTGTTTTGTTTTGTTTTTTTTGGTGAGGGAGATCAGCCCTGAGCTAACATCCATGCTAATCCTCCTCTTTTTGCTGAGGAGGACCGGCTCTGAGCTAACATCTATTGCCAATCCTCCGCCTTTTTTTTCCCCCAGAGTCCCAGTAGATAGTTGTATGTCATAGTTGCACATCCTTCTAGTTGCTGTATGTGGGACGCGGCCTCAGCATGGCCGGAGAAGCGGTGCATCGGTGCACGCCCGGGATCCAAACCCGGGCAGCAAGTAGCGGAGCGCACGCACTTAACCACTAAGCCACGGGGCCAGCCCCAATGTCCACTTGTTTAACTTTGGTTTCACTCAAGAAAACAACCTCAAGAGCCATCATAATTGGTATATAGTGCTTTCACTTTCTCTGCCTCCCGTGAAGCAAAGCTGACATTATTTTGAAGGGAATCTGCTAAAATTTCCACATATATTTAATTCTGCTAAACTTGTATAGACCTGACTTAGATGAGGGGAGAAGAAGAAAGAAGGGAGCTTTGATGGAAAGCTGCATTACTAAGGTGGTATTGTTTCTGCCAAGATTTTCATGTTAAGATGCTGAATTTATCTGCAAGGAAAGAAAAGCATCACGTAGATTTATTACGTGCACGCTACATCTGGGTGTTTGAAAATTTCTAAGAAATTACCTATTCATTCATGTACTCATTAATACTATTCACCATATATTTCTGGCTCTTCTCTGGGCACAAAGGTGGTTGCATTTTCCCATCCCCTTTATATTAAGCATGACCATGTGACTTTCTTTGGTGAATGAATCTTAGGAAGAAGCTATATATGTCACATCTGGGAGAAGGCTTTAAAAGCTGGTGTACAATTGGTTGGAACCTCTTTTCCTCTGCTATGGCAACCAGCTCCAGGAGAGAAGGTTCTATTAGTCTTGTTCCTGGAGTGAAGAGCTGTGGTACAGTGTTTCTTCCCTCTACCTCAATTCCTTAACCCACATGAATATGTAGCATTAATGAGAAATAAACCTTTGTTTAGAGTATTAAGATTTGGAGGCTATATTGTTACTGCAGCATAATCTAGCCTAGCATGCTGGAAATATCTTTTAAATTTTTCCTGTATATTGTGTGTTTATGAATAAGTATGTGAATTCTGCATCTTAATATAGGCCATTGTTTTTTGATGTTTATTTCTTGCCTAGTTCTTGATCCTCTTATTTCTGATAGCTAACCTGACTTCAAATATTTGGAAACTAAACATTATAAAAGTCTTACATGATCATGTAGGGATTTTAATGTGAATTTGTTATATTGTGCACACGTTTGCCTTGCAGTTCATTAGATTTATGTGTTATATCAATTGGTAATATATTTGTCCATCTTCTCCATGCTATTATATTACACACTCCTAAGGATAAAGTGCAACATATATTATCTTTATATATTCTTGTGGTACAAATTTTAGAAATACACATTGGGTAGAACCCAATAAATTTTTGCTGAAAAGATAATGGAGGTAATGCTGATGATGAGGAGGAGGATGATAGAGATTTCAAAAAGGATCATGCTCCTAGAACATGCATGTTCAGAGTGACCGTAAAGCAATTCAATTTATGCAGATAATTTACTGCCTATGTGTTCTGGTATCTGCAAGTCAGAAGTTAGTTTCAAAGTACATAGCTAATAGCATTCTAGGTTTTAAAACTGTATAGAAATACAAAAGGATGAGATAAATGTGAGGATTAGCAAAGGACATTGTATTTTTAGGGGGAAAATGGTTAATGTCCACATTTTAGACGTGTATTATTTGCTGGGTGTCTTACTCAGTGGGAATTCTTTGGGGGAAATATGTTTTAGTCTTTGGAATAAAACTTTTGCCAGCTCACATAGCACTGTCTTTCTGTTTTTATTGTGTGATTTTGTTTCCATTTTTTTTGCATCAGAAAACAGGTCTTGAAGTGAAAATTTTGAACTTCATGATAGATCTGAGGGTATTTGAATCATTTTTGATGCATATTTCCTGATAAGATTCTGATTATCAAGTGCTAATTTTGGCACTCCTAGTCCCGTGAGCTCCTTAAGTGCTCTCATCATATTCCCTAAATTAGTGCTCACAGAATTTAATGCATTACATCTTTTTAATACTATAGTGTTAAAAGGTATTCACATGACATTTAATTATTGCTATTAAATCGTAATTGATTTGAGTAATTATAATTCGTGGTATATTTATGATAGAAGCATCTTCAGTCACTTAGGGGCAATTTTTTCCTACAAAGATCTACCTAGCACACAAATCTACTGATGCTCATAAAATGAATGGTGAAAATGAGCAAATGATTAGAATGACTGTTGTAATCATGGTAAACATGGTTGATTTATTTATTCATTTGTAAATATTTATTAAATAGCTATATTTTAGACACTATGATAAACACTATGAATATAGAGATGAAAAAGACATAGTCCCATTTTTAAAGAGCTCATATAGTAACAGGGAATCATACTGATTATACAATACGTATAATCAATATACATATATACAATATATATGTACAATATACAATACAGATATGTGTTGATTATAGCCTATGATGAAAGCTATAGCAGAGAGGTATAGAAAATATTAGTTCTAGAACTAATGGACAGACTGGAGGGCTTTACGGAAAAGGTGATATTGGAATTGGGCATTTAATACAATATTTCATCACTTTGCTCTAATATTAGAACTAATGAGGATTTTACCACCATATCTACTCTAGATAATTAGAGAATGTTCCTCTGAAAATAAATTGTGCCTAACTTTTATGCCATGTTCTATGCTTTGGAAATTCGGGGATTTTAACCTAGAGTAAATGTTTAACAAAAGCAATGGCCATTCAGAATGGAGGCTAACAATAGAATTAGAACAGGGTCTGGAAAGACTCCTACAGTGACTATTAACTCTTTAACTGTAGAATTATGGATGGGTTTCTGCACACCAGCTTCTCATCTCTCAAAAATAACCAATACTAGTTTCTTCCTTTTACGATACTTGTGAATATTAAATGAGATAATGCATGTAAAGTGGTTGACACAATTAATGGTCTGGAGTATGAATTCAATAAATGTTAGGTATTATAATTATTAAGAGTAAATGAGAGTAGACTTGATAACAAATTACAGATATATCAAAAAGTGTGGAGTAGTGGGGAGATGGAAAATTTGGAAAATTACTTTCCAATGAAGGTCCACTTGAAAGTTTGAAGGAGACGAGAGGGTGTTTTCCAAGCAAAATACTGCCAATTCTATTTTTGTGAGGGATAACTATTTTATATTCCAGTTGTTCCGATTGCAATGATCATGTACGGTAATAATGTTGATGAACAGCCCTGGAGTGAGATGTCAGTATTTGACTGTGGCTGTTTGCAAACTCTGCTGTGATTACATTCAGTTGTCTAATTGCTTAATTTATCGATGTTTTGCTGACATGTTTTTCAGCAACATTTGTGATTGCAGATAACTAATCATTTCTATCCTGGCTCATTATCATATGTTTGCATTTGATTTGTCTGATTGCTGCAGGTGGAAACAATAGGTGATGCATATTGTGTTGCCGCAGGACTCCACAGAAAAAGCCTCTGCCATGCTAAACCCATTGCTCTGATGGCTCTGAAGATGATGGAACTTTCAGAAGAGGTGCTGACACCTGATGGAAGACCGATTCAGGTAACCCTCTCAAAAATCTGGTTTGAAGTAGTAATGCACCTTTAATTGAAGGGAGCGAGAAATTCCCTTCTGAATCCTACTTACTGTAACTCGTAGATCTAGACAAGTTGGGTGCTCAAGGAGGATGAAAAGTAACTAGAAATGACTCATAGATCCAGGAAAAGAACAAATGGAATGTGGTCTAAAATAAGAAAAGGTGTGTGGAAGGCAAATTACCATGGAGAAAAGAAAGAGCTAAAGCATTAGACCCAGGGGAAGAACTTGCTGTCAGTGACTAAGTCACCAAATCCAAGCAAGGATGACAGTGAAAATCAGAGTCTGAGAGAGAATCCAAAAAGGAAGAAACAAAGAAGCAAGAAAACTGAGGATCTGAAGAACTTCCTGTGTGTGGTGTACAGGTGTTCCTTGCCTTAGGCCTCAGGGTGACTTTTGCAATTTTTTATGTGGCAGAGCTTAAAGGAGCTCTTAAAGTAGCTCCTGGTGTGTTTTACTCTTGTTGGTACTGATGGCTCTCCGCAATCTGTGATTTACCTCTGGGAATGGATTAGGTTACTTACCTAGCTGTAGTTTTGCCAGAACCCGATGGATCCCAGATGTGTTGTTACTATGAATCCTTATAAACCTGAAATATTGTATTTGGAGAAGTAATCTTGAATTTAAGGCAGCCCTCTTATAACAGTTCACCAACTATGGGTTTAAAAAATACAGAAAAAAAAGCCTCAAAATATGAGTACTTCCCTAGTTCTGACATAGTGGCAAATTATATACCCTGAGTGACTCTTCGGATTCAAATTATTAAAATGCAGTGTTAAATATTTTAAAAATATTTTTAAAACTATTAAGCATATCACTGAACTCATAGGAAAAGGAGAAATGTGCCAATCACATTATGTATGTAGATTGAACAAAATTTAAGTGGTGAATTTTAACTTAAGTGCTCTGTCATTACACTTAGTAGAAATTTAGAAAATACTGTTCTGCCCTGGAGGAAGTCAACTTCAAGTCCCATCCTCAAAGAATTTCCACAGACAAAGTACTCTGAAAAGTGAATGGGTAATACTAAAAACAAAACAAAATAAAACAGGGTCTGGCCTGGTGGCATAGTGGTTAAGTTCGTGTGCTCCACTTCGGCAGCCCTGTGGTTCGTGGGTTGGGATCCCAGGCATGGACCTGCACGCTGCTCATCAAGCCATGCTGTGGTGACGTCCCACATACAAAATAGAGGAAGATTGGCACAGGTGTTAGCTCAGGGCCAGTCTTCCTCTCAAAAAAAAAAAATAAAAAAATAAAAAAATAAAATAAATAAATAAATAAATAAATAAAACAAAAAACCACACACTCACACAGGAAAACAAAGTACTATGGGTAAGAACCAGTAGACACAATAGATGAGAAAAACACATCTGGAGTGTCATCAGATATCAAAGTTTTCAGGCAGGATCAAAGGACAATTTTTAATATAATTAAAGAAATAAAAGAGAAGCTTAAAAATGTCAGGTGGGAACAGTAGATTTAAAAAAAAGAGAACTTATAAACAATCTACATAATACTTAAGAAAAACAGCTCAATGGATGAGTTTAAAAGCAGATTATATACAGCTGAAGCAAATATTAGTGCACTGAAAGTTAAAATTGAAGAAATCCATAATTAAGTCCAGAGAATTAAAAATGCAGAAATATGAATAAGATAATGTAAAATATGTAGGAGACATGGAGGAGAGAGTGGGAAGATGTAATATACATTCAATTAGGGCTCCAAATGGAGATAACAGAGGAATGCAAAAGTAGGAATTTTTTTCTGAAACTATTAAAAGATATTTATCAGTTCTTAGATACATTAATCCCAAAGAATTCTACAAAAAACATATCATAGGAATCCAAAACTAAACACATCTTAATCAGACTGCAGTATTTCAGAGAAAAAGAGGACTTGAAAATGACAAACATGACATTGGTCAGTGGGGGAAAGGATGGGCTGTTTAATAAATGGTTTGGGGACAATTGGTTATCTGTGTGGGAAAAAAAAATTAAAATTGGATCTCTATTTCATAAATCTGCCCATAAATAAATTCCAGGTGAGTTAAACGTGAAAGGCCATACTATAAAATTATAGATCTATAATTAGGAATTTTCAACTTAGAGTAGAGGATTTTTTTGTAAATTAGTCAGGTCAAAAAATTTCCAATCATAAAGGAAAATATGTATAAATTTTATTCCTTGGAGGACATTTGGTCCTGTCCAAAACATCCTTAAGACATTTGGTCCATAAGACATTTGCTCCACTCCAAAAGGTCCTTGATATCTGGTCATATTTGGTCTTATCCAAAACATCCATGGAGACATTGGGTCCTTGCCAAAAGACCCTTAATATCTGCAGGACCATTTGGTCTTGTTCAAAACATCCATCTGACATTTAGTTCACACTAAAAGGTCTTCGATATCTGGTCATATTTGCTCTTGTCCAAAATGTCCATGGAGACATTGGGTCCATGCCTAAAGGTCTTTGTTATTTGGTCTTATCCAAAACCATTTGGCATGGGCCAAATATGCTCATGGATGTTTTGGACAGGACCAAATGTCAAAGATCTTTTGGTGTGGACCCAATGTTTTATGGATGTTTTGGACAGGGCCAAATACCTGCTAATCATTTTATTACATTAAAATTAAAACCTTCCTGTTTATCAAAGAACACCTAAAGAGAATAAAAAGACAACCCCAAGCTAGGAGAACTTTGTGCAACACATTTAACCAATAAAAGTATCTTTGTTAACCTCACCAATAATCAGATTAATATATATTAATAACACTATGATATAGCATTGCCACCTAATAGTTTGGTACAGCTTTGAAAGTCTAACAGTGCTACTGTTGGTGAGGATTTGGAGCAGCAGGAAATCTCACACACAGCTGGTTGGAGTATAAATGCGAGTGGGAGTACAATTTACTTGGCCTTAAACTAGTAAACTTTAATTTGTGCCTTTCCTACAATCCAACAATCTCTCCCCTAGATGTTTGCCCCAGGGAAATACTTGTGCATGTGTAGCAGAAGTCACACACAAGATTCATAATAGTTTCAAACTGGAAATAACTCAAATATCCATCTAATAGAATGGATAAACTGTGATATATTTATGCCTTCATATACTATACAGTTGGGAAAATGAATGTCCAGCTACTGACATCAACATGGATGAATATCAAAAATATAATATATGAAAATGAAGCAAGTCATGGAAGAATACTGCAGTATTATTCCATTTAATTAAATTTTAAAACTGGGAAAATGGAAAACATATGCCATTTAAAAATACCTGCATTGATGGAAAAAGTGTAAAGGAAAGAAAGGGAATTAATACAAATTCAAGATGGTGCTTAACTCCAAGGGAAAGGAAGAAGATGATGGGAAAGGGGAGGATGCAATAGGAAAAGTGAACATAGGGGTTACAGTGCAAAATTATTCATTTTATTACTGTTCTTTAATATGCACATGTATGGTTTATATTTGACAATTTAAAAAAGTGGAAGGGGAAAGAGTTTTCTAACCACTCCCACCAGTGGTGAAAAAAGGAACCATTAAAAAAACTGTAGTTTAAGGGCCGGCCCCGTGGTGTAGCAGTTAAGTGCGTGTGCTCTGCTGCTGGTGGCCCGGGTTCGGATCCCAGGCGCCCAGCGAGGCACCATTTGTCAGGCCATGCTGTGGCAGTGTCCCATATAAAGGGGAGGAAGATGGGCACCGATGTTAGCCCGGGGCCAGTCTTCCTCAGCAAAAAGAGGAGGATTGGCATGGATGTTAGCACAGGGCTATTCTTCCTCACAAAAAGAAAAAAAAAAGCAAAAACTGTAGTTTAAGTCCCCTCAGGACATAATTATCAAGTTATTCAGGCATACGAATGACACTTCTACCATTGTCAGGAAAAACAAACAAACAAAAGGAATACTGTCTCAGATCTGCTGCAAACTGCGAATATACACATTCCAGATTGAATTCATATCAGTTCTTAAATTTTCAAGACTACCACCTGGGCAGTCTTATCATTTGGGATTGTTTTTCTATGTTGGATTTTCTTTTATAGGAGATATATTGTCAGTATTGATTCAGCGTTGTCAAAACAAACCTAAACTACCATAGAACAAACCAGGGAATTGTGTTTTACAGCGTGCTCATCCATATTTTCATTTGTGGGATATAACATTAGCTCTGTCTTATGAATCAGATAATTTTATTAAATCAGAAGAGGAAATGTCCATAAAGATTTAATAAGAATGCAGAAAGAGAATTCAAAATAATAAAACCACCTTAATAATTTTAGCTTCATTACTAATTTATATTGTTTTCATGGTTTGGGATTGTTTTTTGGCATATTAATTTGATTTTGAATTGGCTTCCAACTTGGTGCTATGGGAACATTTCTAAACATATTGAAAGGATCTTTTATTAAAAATGCTTGTGTATTGCAGCAGAGTTGATATGATCGGTTGATTGTTTCCTTCACACTAAGTTTTTAGATTATTTAAAATTTAAGCTATTTGAGTTGCAATAACTGCTCAAAATGATTAGCAGACATTTGGTCATCCAAAACGTCCATAAGACATTTGGTCCATGCCACAATGTCCTCGATATTTGGTCCTTCCCAAAATGTCTGTAAGACATTTGGTTCAGAAGACATTTGATCCATAAGACATTTGGTCCGTCAGACATTTGCTCCACACCAAAAGGTCCTTGATATCTGATCGTGTTTAGTCCTGTCCAAAATATCCATGGAAACATTGAGTCCATGCCAAAAGGTTCTTGATATCTGCAGGAGTGTTTGGTCCTGTCCAAAATGTCCATCAGACATTTGGTCCACACCAGAAGGTTCTTGATATTTGGTCCTGTCCAAACCATTTGGCATGGACCAAATATGCTCATGGATGTTTTGGACAGGCTCAAATGTCAAGGACCTTTTGGCATGGACTAAATGTCTGATAGGCCAAATGTATTATGGACCAAATTCTTATGGT